TATATAAAGAACATAACAAGATATTCAGTTAAATGAGTTTGAAAAAAGGCAAGTAAAATGAAAAAGAAAGAGCATCCAAGAAAATAAAGGGGGATTTGGGTGGAATAATATACTGTATTTATTTATATAACTAGAGGCTTAATGTAGTGTGTTTTCAGAAGATACTTTAGGGCTGCACAATTTGATTTCTGGATGCCTTTTTTGTTTTGGAAGCTCAAACTGGGGCCAAATTTATATGGCCTGCAGTTTTCCTATTGATATTTTTTCGTAGAAACTGAATTCTGATTTAGAAAATCAGTTAGTGTGCATACTCACACTGTCACACCCTTGCAAACGTTAATTATTATGGGTAAGTTGCTGGCTTCAAACTGACCGACTTATGCTATATGTTTTCTTCAGTTTGTTGATTAACGAGTGGAATATTCTAAACAAAGATGTTGATGCTGTTAGTGCCCCCATACCTGAGAAGATTTGGCAACGTCTTCCTCGTAGAATTGAGAATAAATATATTGTGGTAATTATGTTTCTGGCTATGGTATTACTTTCATTTATTTATTTATTATTATTATTATTAGCAGGTGGGTGTTTTGTCTTTTCTTTTACAATACTCTTTTCTGTATTATAATGTAATTAGTTATGATTGAAAACAATTTTGTTCTCATTGGATTGCTTATCTCTATTATTGATATTCAATTCTTGGCCATTACTCTGCTTGAATTAAGAATTTGCATCCATAATATAATTTCTCTTAACTAAGTTGTATTTTGACCTGTCAAGTCAATTAGATTGGGTTGAGGTTTGGTAATTTGGTTTCATTTCATTTGCATATGGGATCATTTCGGTTTAGGATAGGTAAATGCATGTTTGTGAATTAGTGACCCAATATTTCAGTTTCATGTCAATCATATAGACCAATAATTCCTCTTTTCCCCTTAGATCTGGTTATAGTGCGAAGATTGGTTTACATAAATTTATTAAGAATTATGCTCTGATTCTAGATATGATATGATAAGCTGAAATTTGAAATTTTCCGGTGATTTCTAACACTTTGGCCTTTTAGCAATTAGCTAAGCTGGCTCATTTTGCTGTTTGACGAGCTAAAAGCGTGTACCATATGCAGTTGTATGGTAAAATTAGTGATTGGTCATATGCTCGTATTATTCAAAATGACAGCGTTTTAGGCAGAATAGTTTTTAAATTTTTTGATGCCAACAACCATTGAAAAAGCTGCTCGCCTGCTCTAGTTAGGTTTTTATTTATATTTTTATCTTTATATAATTATTTGCTTTTAATCAATTTTCAATGTATTTAACAGTATCAGGTCGATCCAAAATAGGCTGTATTGTATGACCCTCAAATTGTTGAATCATTTGGGCTGACCCTCCTAAGCTTAGTTGTCATTATTTATCTTTAACTTTCACATTTCTTGTCTCTATCTGCCTCCTTCGATCCCAACAGGTTCCTCGCCAGACTAATGATTATGATTGCGGCCTCTTTGTGTTATATTACATGGAACGATTCATACTTGAAGCACCTAAAAGGCTTACGAGGCAACTTTTAACTATGGTACAGTCTTTTACATCTAGATACACTATTGAATATTGATCATCCTGGGTTCAGTTTCACAGTTTTCTCTTTTCTAATTTGTTCATATGTGCTCATTTGCCTTTTCTATTCTATTCTCAGTTTGGGAAGCACTGGTTCAAACCTCAAGAAGCCTCTAGTTTGAGAGGGAAAATAAAAAAGATACTCCAGGAAGAATTCAAGGAGGAACCAAAACAGGATAGCTGGACCTGGGAACCTGTGTGTTTGCCTGTAAATGCTGAAACAACAAAATCCAAAGACCTTGCTGAAATTTCATGACAGCTAAAGCCTAAAATATTGTTGCTGTGTCCCTATATTTGGTATAGATTAACTACGGCGGGTTAGAGCTTGGAGATCTCTCTCCTTACAGTTTATAGCTGCAATGAGGCACTTTGCATAGGAGCTGCACATACATTTCCTAGTTAGTTTTGTATAGATAGAAGTAGATTTGGAATCTTGTCGTTATAATGTAAGAAGTTACTGGGCAGAATATCAAGCCTTTTTAGCCAACTTGCTATTCCTTTCTGAGTACCAGGAGGTAGCTTCTTAAAGGTTTACTCGTCCATTGTACAGAATGGGTTAGGATTTCTGTAACCAGCGATTGCGGCTTTTGAAAGCCTTCCCATCTTCATATTCGCCAGGTGCAACATTTAGGCGTTCACTTTTGTAAAGAAGACAAGCACCAAGTGGTAATAAAATTTACTTCTTTGCTCTGCAGAATTGTGTCTTTTCTGTGTCCATCACAGGGCGGTATGCCAGTATCCGGCTATCTGCTTTGCCGTTTTTGAGATTTTGGATTATGTTAAGGGACATTTGTCCTAACGTGTACTATATCCTTTGAAATGGCAAAATACTTTACAAATACCCCTCCCTCCAATTTGTTCCTCATTATGCCCCTGCTTTTCATAAATTTGAGGAAGAATGTATGTAAAACTGCTGAAATCACCTTGTCATTTTTTGGTAAATGCATAGGTACAACATTTAGCAGTGAAAATCAGTACATTAATGTCACAAAATAAGGCACTTCAGCTTATCATATTAAACTATGTATTAATCCATGAATATGCGAGGAACCATCAAGTCATAGTTTTAGCCTGGCTGGATCTCAGTAGATTTGTGGAAAGAAGCACGAGCAATGAGCTTGATTAGTATATCTCATACTGCTCCCTCTAAACGTGTCTATACATTCCAAACTGGAAACTACATCTTTCATCTCCGGCCTCTTCATCGGGTTTGACGACCAACATCTTTTCATGATTTTAGCTAATGACTTCGGGCAACACTTGGGAATGGAAGGTCTCAAGTCCTACAATTATCACATACAAATTTATGGGTTTATTCTTGAAATCATTATAATTTAGTGAGTATTCTCAATTTATGACTGATTAACAATATTGATCGTTACGTACCTTACTAAACTTTGAAGGTGAAAATGGCATCTCGCAACAATATATTTCCCACAAGCAAATTCCAAAGCTATACACATCACCTTTGGTGTCGTAAGGTTTTCCCTTAAGCACCTGTAAAAGACAATCTAGCTCGGTTAATTTCGAAAGCAACATGTTAGGAAAAAAAATAATTTAGACAACTAACAAGGGGTAAAATGTAAGTCCGACATAAATTGAGAATACTATCACTAGTCTTGCATTTACCTCAGGAGCCATATAGCCTAGCGTTCCAGTCTGTCCGATCAGTTTCCCTTGTACCAAAGAGACAAGGCGAGCGACTCCAAAGTCTGCAATCTTTAAGTGACCTTTCTCATCGAGAAGCATGTTTTCAGTCTTCACATCGCCGTGAACAATCATTTTCGAGTGAAGATATGATAACCTACAATACAATAGATTTTAGATCGAGCTAACAGTCCATCAATGACAATACGACATGAATCACATGATAACTTAATTATGGTAATTAAGGAGTTTTACCCTTTTGCCAAATCCAACGCTAACATAATAACAATATTTAGAGAAAGTTTTGTCCTTGAATTCCTTTTTAAGTATGACTTGAGTGTGCCTCCGGCAAGATATTCTGAAAGCATGTAATATAGGTCTTTTGATGCTCCTATGAACTGCGCACAAAGAGATTAAAAAAGTTAAAAAAATTATGAACTTTATTTTCTATCAAGTAATTAACAATTTAACACTAATAGTATACACATGCATCTTCTTCAACGAAAAGAATACATATGCATGTGCTTAATTAGGATATACCTAGAAAGCCCTAATTTTAGACCATCACTTTTTTTTGGGTTTAGAGAGCCACAACGGCGAGGGTGATCCCAGGATCTATTCCTCACTCTCTTATCAATTTCTTGAATTTACAAGACTTCAAAGTTCAAACCCCTTTCAATAATAATAAGGGAATCACAATGTAGATTATTCTAAATTATAGGAATTAATAAAAAGAAATCTCTAAAACTTTAATAGATTAAAAAAATAATAATAAAGATTTAAATTACCTTGATGACATTAGGATGATCTAATTTACTCCACATTGAAACCTCCTGATCAAAAAGTTTTTTCACTGAATCTTTTACCCTTTGGCATACTTGTTCAACTACAAGTACTTTAACTAAATTCATCACCAAAAAAAAAAAAAAAAAAAAAATTGATTTTGTTGGGTGCATAAAGAACAAAAAAAATAAGAATAAAATTAAATTGTTTGTACTGACCTACAACTTCTTGGCCATTATAGCATGCTTTGAACACAGAACTAATAGAGCCTTGGCTAATCACACTCTTCACTCTTAACATACGCAAATCAACAGTTTCGGAGTCCAAAATTGTTGTTGCTTCCATTTTTCTACGTACTGAAGCTATTAAACATGGAGTTTGTTATTATAGGCTGTTTACTAAAGATAATACCCTTAAGATTTGAAATAATTAACGAATTGGATTTTTCCAAGTTTTTGGTTGATATTTATTTTTGAAAAGATAGATTTGTTTTTAATTCAAATCTATCAAAAGATAGATTTGTTATAGTTAATAACTGATAAGCAATATATACCTAGTCAACTCGATAACTAAAATATAGCAACTTAAAAATTTTCACTCTTTGAGGCTTGCCCCTCTTTTGTACCCCAAAAAAAAAAAAAAAAAAAAAAAAAGACAAATTGTTCTTTAAAAAAAAAAAACCAAATTGTTGTTAAAAATTAAATAAATAAAAAATAGTTTAGAAGTAATGGAAAAAATAATCCAGATTATTTTTCTAAATTGTAAAAATTACTTAAAAAGTAGTAGAAAATAATTGAAACAAAAAAATTTCTATTTATATTTTACTCAGAAGACCTTACAATTTTAGAAATCTGAGTATATTTCACCTTAAAATACAAAGAAGCATTAGAATTGATTCAAAACAGTATAAAACTCAATGATTTGCAACACTACTGCACAATTTAGTGTAGGACTCCTTACGGCTGTTACCAATTGGCTGCTATACTGCATATAAACCAACAAATATACTTCGAAATTTGTATACGCTACAGTAGTGTATACATCTGGAGTTTTGGATATGTACAAACATCAATTCTTCTTACAAAAAGAATAATGAGGAATGTGCTGCCTATTCCAGACTTGTGATAGCGCTGCAAGAATCGTACTGACGGGCAACACCAGACGAAGCCAAAAATGTGATGTCCAGTTCTTCAATCTCATCTTGTAAATTCAGTGAGAAGGTCTTCAATATAAGACCAAATTAAGCTCCCAAAAATCAGTGTCATTTACTGCTACTACTATTTTTCTTACTTCAGCTATGAGACTAGAACTTTGCTGCGTCACCAATGTGCAGAGTACACAGATGTAAGTCACGTGTTAAAACCCCTTCAGCTTAAACTAGTCTGCATATTACCTACAAAATATACTATGATATACACCTTGGTCTTCAGGTATGTACACTTGACAATTTTCATAAGTTGGCAGCTTCAAAGTCTTCGCTGCTTCTTCTTCTGTGGTGTTCCATGCACTTGAGTTTTTCTCCCATATTTCTGCTGCTGAAAGTTCTCAAATGCTTCACACACCACTGCAACCTGCATGAATTTTTTATTTTAATTCAGTACTGGTACGGTATATTATTAATGGAAACAAGTATAACAGTCATATTTTTTACGAACCAGTTCAGGCTTCTTAGAGTACACCCGGACTATTCTATCTAGACAGCATGAAGGCAGTAGCTGGCTGATGCTTTGATCGCTAATAGTGAAGTTCTGATCAACATCATAGTCCTGAAATACATCACACAAAAATGTTTGACAGCATATTCTGGTAATAAGAAAATAATACATACTGTTAAGAATAGGTAATGTGCAAGGTATAAACTGAACTTTGTTCCCCAAATGCTCTGGTTGGCCTGATAAAACAGAGTACTATTTCCCTTTAGTTCAGCATCTTCAGCATATCACAACAGCTATATCCAGTTTATTTGAAGCACCGTAGAAATAACGTCATCAATCAAAGGTGGCTTAACAGAGAACTTTCAAACTCATCTTTCTTTGGTTCACTAAATTTTGAGGAAAGGAAACAGGAGATGGAGAGAAAGCAATGGAAAGGACAAAAGAAAAACAAGGCATATGGTGGAAAATGAGGCATTTCTACCTCAGTAGGGAGAATCTTTTCTGTCCTTAATAAAATCTATCTTCGAGAATTTCAATACAAGAAAATATCCTCTTATACTAACTAAACAAAGAAAAATAGAAAACCAGCTTTCATGAAAATGGACTTTTCCCCTAACTTAACACAGCAAAATGGAAATAAAAGCAAGATAGACACAAAATTGATTTTCATACCTGAAAGAATTTGATGCTGGAGACATAAGCAGAAGACAAATGTTAGTGCGAATAAAGAGTGTCACTAAGACCATTAAAGGTATTAACCATTTTTTATAGACCAATCTTATGTACCTTTTAAGTGGATTGTTTTTGCCTTGTGTCAGGTCAATCTTGATATTGCTCACAGCAACATCATCTTCTTGTAAGGTCACCCCACCAGACACCTACAGGAGATACAATTTAGAAAGAAAACCAGCATATATAATCATGGCCAATGTTGTCTTTGTACCTGTGAACAAATAATATCTTTGGCAGTAACTTCCTTGAAGTGCTCAAGACCGTCTCTTGGAACAGTGAATTCGTTGCAGAACTATTTGAAACAAAACAAAAAAAACAAGAAGCAGGAGGTTATTATCTACGAACTGTAATATATCACCAAATACCAAAATAATAGACTGAACACAAACCTGATAGAGATCTCTCCTTCTTATCCGCAAAATTAAGTCTCTAGACTCTTTCAACTCTGGGTGAGGATCAGTTTCAATTCTTTTTATTATAGTGTCATCCAACTTTTCATAAGCAGAATACAATGTTAGTACAGCAGATATAGACAGGTTATATGTGAGGAACTAAGGTATAAAACTATAGATAATACAAGCACGATTTTACCTTCCAAAATTCAGCAGGATCATGAATCTTAGAAGCAATTTGAAGAAAATTATTTGCTTTCAGCAGTGCATCAACCACCATAAGCTCTACTGCCTGCAAAACATGTCTTCTGTCAAATACTACTGCAATATTCTATGCTCAGCAACATCTTACTAGAATTATATCCAGTGCGACTAGACATCAAAGTAGATTAAACAAAGCACCTTCACTTTAGCATGCGTATAGACTGTTCGATGCAGATCAGCACGGGTATTGAACAGCTTGTGAACAGTAAGATCTGGCAGAATTGTGAAACAGGAACATGAGAAGATAATAACAATGGAAGTTCAGTGAAGGTACATATGTAATTTTTACTGACATTCCTTGGCTCTGTAGCATATCTCATCATCCATCACTCTCATGGTTTGCAGCAACCTGCAAGCAAGAGGTAAACATGTATGTCTCATGACTCAGGAGTCTGCTGAATGTAAGTTATGAATATAGCACACGAATATCAACTGTCAAATGACCTCTAGAGGAGAGCAATTGGATTGTGAGGTAAGAAGCAAGGAGTATTCCGTTTTGAACATGTAGTTCAGCAAATTTCTAATAACATTGCAGAAGAAACAGCATGTGATACGATACATACCTCTCAAATTGAAAGCTGCAGCCAAGACCACAAGCTCGAGAATCACGAACTATGTAGTCAAATCTGTGTGGGATTTGGGAACAGCATTAAGGGATGTTCAATACCAGAAAGCAAACAGCATTTACGCCAAGTAAAGTGGAAGTAAAATAAAAAAAAACACGCTTACTTGTCAACATCGATTCCATTTCTTCCATTTGCAACAATATCATATAAGAACCTCTTCTCCTTCACACGCTGTGGCAATAAAGTAGATCAGGACATGAAACTATATCTTTTCGAGGATACATGATAGTATGATACATTTTTGGGCACTAACTGAAAGTCATCAAAGCTAAACTATTATAATTCAATTTCTCACCTCTGCTGAACCATGCTCGGTACTGGCAACTATCATTTCCTATCAAAAAGAGAAATGCTTTGGTAAAAAATTCATAGAGACTGTGAAAAGTAAAATAGCCTCTACCATTCATTCCAGTCAGATAAAAATGAATTTTGGAATAAACATATAAGGATGATTCCGAGCTTCACGACAATAAAATTTTGTACTGGTCGACACAGTTAAGAGGACTCTCTTCTAACAAAACAACTATGATAGCAAAGGATTACTCCAGTAAATCAACCCCGCTAAAATCCTTACAACATTATAGAAGATTACTAAGTTGCCATTACACCAGATATCAAAAGGCTGTACAGCAAGAACAAGCTAGTAACAGTGCTATGATACCTTCACTTTCTTTAACATGCCATCTTCCATCTCTATGTGATGCTCATCAACTATGTAATCAACCAAGCGGTCAGACATATCCTCGTGAGACCTTCAACGGTATCATTCAACACAATAAACATTTTCTTTAGAAGTTAAGTGTCAATCAACAAATTACTTATAAAATAGAGCAACAGGAACGTCCTGACTTCAGAAAGTTTAAGAACACAATTACAGTTGAGAGAATACCATTTAGCACCACCAAGAACCTTGGGAAGGAACCCACTTTCAAACATGTGGCTGAATGGACCATGACCAACATCATGCAGTAGCCCTAAAAGACATTTTAAGCTACAGCAATTACTGATTTCAAATCAAAATAAGGTAAAAAATATAGAAAAGTTGATCAATTTACCAGCAATTTTTACCGACTGTACATCAAAAGGTTCAATTCCAAGCTCTGAACCCTACAAAAACATGCCTACATAAATAATCCTGATTCAATAAGATGTGAAAATTCATGCAAGTGCCTCACTTGGTATCTTTTAAGTTCATTAACAGCTTCACCAGCAAGATGATAGACTCCTAGCGAGTGCTCAAACCGAGAGTGTACAGCCCCAGGGAAAACCAGGTTTGTTACTCCTAAAAAGAACAAGCCATCAGATTTTGAACAGTGTTCCACATAGATATAGCATTGGTCAAGTCACTGAATAAAGAAAATGTACATAAATAAACAATTTAATCCAGTCAGGTCTCAGTGTTGTGAAAAAAAAAGCCAAAAAATTAACACATAGGACCATTCTTATTGCCATAGTTATATTGGGGCAACAGCTCGTCCTTTGAAGTGAATGATACGGAGTACTAATCAACAGACAAAATAAAGATTAAAAAAATGATCAGCATGAAACATTTAAGTTTTTCAAGACTGAATGATACGGAGTACTAATCAACAGACAAAATAAAGATTAAAAAAATGATCAGCATGACATAACTACTTTCTTGATGGAGATAGGAAATGAACCAAATGATTATATCATTATTAATGCCAGATATGCTAAAATACATCCAACAAGCAAAATTACAAGACTTGCTGGCTTTTCGGAGAAATAAGTTGATTATAAATTTATAATCACATGCCAGCAGAATCCATAATTTATCAAGCATATCAATGGACCAGGATATAATTAAAAGTCTCAAACAAAGTAAAAAAGCAATGACATAGAGAAGAAAAAAACTGAACTACGAGTTAAAAACTCACCAAGCTGCTTAAGATCGCGAAGTCTGCAAAAACAAAGTTTTAAGGGAGTAATTAGTCTAATGCCAAATTTGAAGGCCAAAAAATCGAGAAGAACATTATAATCACGGTAACACTTGCCTCTGGAATTGTTCGGTGTCTATGAACTTCAGTGCAAGCTGAAAACAACAATAAAAATCTTATATCTTAAATTACACTACATTAACAAAAAAACAGCGTATATATTTAGTTTGATTTTGACATTATTACAACCGAAAGCTACTTTGAATTAAGAAACTCTACACTTCTGACTTAGATAGTCAACTTATGAATGAAACTGCGCCAATTTCCGTTAAAAAGTGCAAAAAGTAAAGGCCATTAAATAATTTGACAATTTGATATTTCGATTTGCCAAAATTAATCTTAAAACTCTGTTTTATAAGATTTTTAATTAAATTCAATTTGCAATTTGCAGAAATTAACTCGCATAAGCATTTCATTATCGAAGAATGAATGAACACCACATGTTCGATGAAAGTCTTATCGGCAAATTCGCTAATAATAGTAATAATCAACCATACATACAAAAATTAAGTTGATTATACACTAAAATACTAAACAACGTCTAATTACTTCTTTGAATTTTCAAATAAATGCAACCAAATTATAGAAAATCGAAGGAGCACAAAATTTTTCGCAAATTCAAGATTTCGTAATTTCAACTCTAAAATTTTAAGAAGATTGCAATCACTTTCCGACTCTGTTTTCAGGTCTGCTCTAATTTCACTTAACATTTTAATTTGCAAAAATTAACCAGAATTAACCTCTAAAAACTCGAAAATGCAGGAAATTCGAACGCAAAAACATATAAAACGCAGAAAAATTAAGAAAAACAATACAAATATTTCCACAATTCGCCGAAATTTCGACGCTTAATTCTGTGAAGTAAACTACTAGTACTCGAATTCAAACATCTAATTCAAAAAGCAGCAAAACAAAAAAGTGAAAAATCTGGAAAAATGAGCATCAACATTCTTCAACAAAACGAGCAATTAACAGTAGAAAAGATAAAAAAAAAAAACAAAATACCGGATCAAGAAGAATGAATCCATGAACATTATCTTTAACATGCTTAGAATACCGGCGACAATCGGAAGAGCTGAGATTTTGCAGTTCGGAAACTCCGGCAGCGACGATTTCTCCCATATTTCTCCGAGCAGAAGGTAATTTGCAGAGTGAAAGTGAAAGGAAGAGAGAGAAAGTAGAGAGAGAAAGAGGAGAGAGAAAGAAGTAGCGTGCAAGGAAACTGGAGCAGCAAAATAAGCCTGCTTTTCTCTTTGTTCAGTGACAAACAGAGAGAATTTTGAGAGGAAATGTGTATATATAGGGGTATGCCATATGCCTTTTTTTTCTTTTTCTTTTTTTTTAAGAACCTATTTATTTATTACAGGTTATTTATTTTTTTACGAGTATTTAATTTGATTTATTGCTTTTAATGTTGGGGTGATAGATATGAAAAGACTGTCGTTTCTTGATTAAGGTGGGGTTACATTTTTGTTTAATTGGTTAGGAGTGTAGTAATTTGGGGAATGTGTTAAAGATTTGCAATTAATACCAAGTACAATAAATAAATAAATAAATAAATAAGTTTGATGAATCAATTTACTTGTTATCTCCTTAATAAATCTCAATAACTACCCTATAACTACTCACTTAGGGCTGTTTACTTCACCTTATTTCAATTCAACTTAGTTCAGTTCAGTCCAGTTGAGTTTTCTATTTACTTCTCTCATAAAATATTTTGTTTAGTTCAATTGAGTTCTCTATTTCCTTCTCTTATAAAATATTTAGTTTAGTTAAGTTCATCTCAATTCAGTAAATCAGAACAGACCCTTAGCTTAAATAAAAATATGTTACTATTTTTTTTTTAGCAATATTTGTTATCTAGTTGAGATTTATAGTTAGGGTGTTTCATATTTGATTTTTTTATTTGTCAAATTCACTTACATAGATATAGGCTAAATATATTCTTATCTGAATTGATCTGAATATATTTATCTTAAATCTATAATATTGAAATCATTAACTCTAATCTTTAATTTGTTTGAACAATTTTTTTTGTGAAATAAATAAAAATGAGATAAATTGGACAATATACATGGTAAAAATTAATCTGAAGGAAGAGAAACACATTTAATCCACTTACATTTGTCTACTCTTTATTTCAATGACAAATCTGTTTTTCTCCAAACAAATTACATTTTTTTTAAAGGTAAGGAAAAAAAATTAGGAAGTCCTCTTCTTGAGGAAAATTTCTAATGTAAAATAAAATACACCATTAAGTAATGAAATACTTTGTACTTGTATGGTATAGTATTCCAAAATGGAAATAACAATATTATTAAAATAAATAAATAATAGTGACAAAGACTATAGTCTTTAAAAAAATAAGCCGACATTAATTGACTTCTTTGTAAAAAAAAAAAAAAATTGACTTCTTTGTTTATTGATTTGTTGACATAATAAATTAATGTTGTAGGCACCACCCCCTACATCTTTTGTCCAATTTTAGTGGTGAGTAATCTATGGCCAAATGAGCAAATACAGAATAGAAGTACAGAACTATACAAAGTATGATTGAGTTTGACACTGTATTATATTCATTATTGTGTTGTCACATCACATGCAACCAGTTTCAAGTTGAACAATTTTATTTTTAGCTGTGTCAATGATTGTTTTTCCAATATTTGGCTATATATTTCTTGCTTCCTAAGTAAGAATAGCAGCAGAGTGCTCTTTCTCTATTCTATATACTTAAGTCTGTTATGTACTTTTTTTAAAGAAGGAAATATACAAGAAGTTAGACTAGTTTTCTCTCGAGAATATAACTCCACTTATTTGAAGTAATTACAAAAAAAAAAAATTATTATCTAAAGGATCAATATCTTGCTACGTATGCATGAAATTCCCTAAAAAAGCAACATAATCTGCAGCTCTACTGCCTTCTCTATAGATATGCTTGGATTCGACGGAAGAGAAAAAGACGAAGGAGCTCCCTAACATCTTCTAGCGGTACCTGAATCATCCATGAACATTGAGCTTTACCTTACAAAATATTAATTTATAGTTTGTTATGTACTTATGTCTTGTTCTTAAGAAAAATAAGAAGCTGTCTAAATACAAGATACAACAAGACAAAATGAATTTTCCCCGATGTCGGTTAGAGTTTGTTGTGTTCATTCAACTTAATTTTTATTCATTTCAGAAAAATAAGTTTAGATAAAGATAAATTTAAGATGAGTAAATTATGATAAAGGGTGCTTAGGTTTAATTTACAATTAAAATACTTCAATATCATATGTTCATATACAAAACACAGTTAACACACACGCACTGAAAAAATACAAGTTTATCTTCATGATAAACTTTAGTTGTTTATCTAGGGTTAAAAATTTAAAATAGTCAAGTACTTTGGACATGTATGGGCAGCAAAGTCATTTCACTAGTTCATATTTTTAACGCCAAAAATCTACTTCCTCTATTTCTTTTTAGTTGACACGTTTTTTTAGTCACGTTTGCCAATGCACAAATTAAATCATTAATATTTTTAATTACCGATAAGCAAAAATTATAAAAAGTTGATATTATGAAAATGTACATTGTGACGAATCTAACAAGATCCCACTTGACTTTATATTTCCTTACATATAAATCACAAAACATGGTCAAAAGAGATGTGTGAATAGTGCTAAAGTCAAAACGTGTCAACTAATAAAAAACGGAGGTAGTATTACTTTAGACGTGAATGTCGTTCTCGAAATTTTAGAACTAACAATGGAGAAAACTTTTCAATGGAAGAAATCAAGCTCAATAGTAGTCAATAATGGCGGACTTGGTGGTTGATCCCGTCCTTGATTTCACCCTTTTCATAGGGTTTTTCGTTTAATTAGATGGCGAAGCTGTCGATAATGGTGATGTCGATGGAGATGGGGGTGCGGTGGAAGGTTGGTTGGGGATGAAGAAGATCGAAGCTCAAGCTCCTTCAATAGAATTAACTCGACAAAAATGGAGACGAAATGATGGTAAGTGGGATGATGAAGAAGAAAGTTTTAGCACTTAAATTAACGACGCAATTCACCAACTTTATAGCTGAAGCCCATAAAACAGACGAAACTCTTATTTTAATCTTAAGACATGATTTTCTACACTACTTATTACAAACATGCCATTAGATAAACAAAATTCGTCTATCATTAAGATAAATAGGGGTTGCCCTCCACACACACCCTTAATATTCTATGTTGCTATGCGTGTCCAGAATGTCCACTATTTGTTACTCCCTTTGTCTCTTAATGTTTGTTCTTTTTAAAAAATAAAAATAAAAAACCAGCCCCTACTCTTCGTATTTGTTTAATCACAACAATAATCATTGCACATAATTATAGGAAAATTATAGAACAGGGACCAAAGTGAGTTTTATACTCTCTAGTCCGATCGCGTTTGTTCTTCTCATTTGGTGTAGGAGAGTTAACTAAGGAAAACATTTTCGTCCAAATCCAATAAATATTTGATATCTATATGCTATAGCTACACGATGAAAAGTAACAATAGCAATTAAAGGGTTGAATATACAAGCAAATGGCCTAATAGCATGAGATTAGTTGTAGATAAATCTGTCTAAAGTCAGGATTCAAGCGTTTAATACTTTCTCAAATTGAGGAGGGACTCGAAGCAAAGGGGCTTGAAAGTCTCCAGGTTTTCCGAGTTGGCCACAAGCAGCCATTTGATCATCACCCCTACTAAGGCGTAAGAAGACAGTGCAACCACCAGCTGCCAGAACATTCCGGAACTCAATCATCTTGTCCTCTTTGGTTGGCTTGAAGCGAGACCCGCTGTGAGGATTAAACTGGATTAGATTGATCTTGCATGGTATGTCTTGAACAAGACTAATAAGCCTCTTCGCATCCTCCATGCTGTAAACCATGAACAAGAAGTAATTCAGGAAGTAACTCACAAAACAAGTGTATGGCAAAAAGCCTAGGCCTAGGGATAACTTGAGAAACCGCACATAAAATGACCCCCAGTTGATCAGAGAACACCCCTTCCCAATTCCTGTGATAGGGTTGAGGACCCCCTGTATCTTGCCCTTTTTTTTTGTAAAAAAAAAAAAACAGAAAAAAGATCAGAGAACACTAAAAACACTCCAAGATATGCAGGCAACTACTTAATAATGCATTTAAAGAGGACCATACTAACTGTAGCAAGACTGCAAGAGGCTGTACAACACAAAGGAACTAACCTGTCATTGACTCCAGCAAGCATCACATATTCAAAGAGAACTTTGTAATTATGTCTATGTCGCAATTCATCCCTAAGTGTTCCAAGAAGTAGTTCCAAGTTATACTTCCGGTTTATTGGCATGATCCAGTTCCTCACCTGAAAGTTTACCCTCGGGATGTTAGCTCTATCTTCCATCTTTACAAGAACTACAAACGAAGAGGAAAGCGCCTCGGGCTGTAGCATATTACCTCATCAGTAGTAGCATTCAAACTAACCGCAAGAGCACAATTGGATTCATGAAGAAAACGCTTCAATTGTGGGACCAGCCCACTGGTTGAAATTGTAACCTTCCGCGGACTGAAATGAAGTCCTTGGTCATCCACCATTACATCTGCTGCTTTCACGACATTGTCAACATTCTGAAGTGGTTCTCCCATGCCCTACAGATAATACATTTTTGACAGTCAGTAAAACAGCAACCAATTATTAGGAAACAAAACAATTTATATGCTGCATATACTACTCTGTTAGTCTAGTCATAGTATTTGCAACAATCATTTAGTAGCAGGAGTGGTCAAGAAATTTGACAGCCCACCCTGCTTAAGGTGGGAGCATCTTTAAGGCAATATTATCTTGTTGGCTATTGTTGTTACTGTGCAAGCCAAAATAAACTGTAAGCTTATCAAGCAAAACCAATCAGTGACCAGTCTTACGTGTGATTAAAAAGATAAAAAACATATTACACACAAATTAAAAATGCACAGCGCGATCCTCTCAGGCAGTGGCTGACAAAACAAAGTATCATACTTGGCAAAAGGATAAAGAAAATTCTCTAAGCCACAAGCAATTTATCTAAAATCAAACACTTACCATGAAAACAACATTGGTAATTGACCCAACTTCCTCTGTGAACAAACGTCGAGCAAATACAGCCTGTTCTACAATCTCAGCAGCAGTTAGGTGCCTTGTTAATCCCATCCTGAAAAATAAAATTCTTCATGACTGCTGAAAATAATATAGATGACAACAAGTCATGAGAATCAACTTATGATAGAACCTTGCCTTCCAGTGAAGCAAAACTGACAATTCATGGCACAACCCACTTGACTTGAAACACACACTGTATTTCTTCCCCGATCACAAGGAATAATAACTGTTTCGATTACCAGTCCATCTTCCAAAGTGAATAATATCTGCAAGCTCCTGTGAAGTTCAGGATCATTGAGAAGATTTTTATGTACAAATAACAAACAATGGAAGGAAACACACTGATAAATTTTATTCGCTCAACAAAAAATAATATATGGTAAAATTGGCAATCACACTAATAAGAAAGTTCCTTTTCACCTTTTTAGTTCCATCAGATGCTGAGCGAACCTCTTTCAGAGACAAGGCCCTAAAATCTGCATGAGCACTCAGCATTTTTCTGAAATCTTTGTTTAGACCTATGTGATGAAAAATTAAATTTTATCATCAAAGAGCTTGACAGAAAGAATCAAAATCTAACTACATCCATTTCAAAATATTAAGCCACATTTAATTTTGAGTTTGCTAACTTTCGATATAATGCAATAAATTGTTGCTATGTTTACAAAAAATAAAGACCCTTTCAAAGTATGTCAACATATTTTTAGCTGTCTTTACAACGAGACAATGAAAATCAATATATTGAAAACGGCCAATCTTTTACAGATGGAGGAGCTAAATGTTTAGTAGCTAGAGAAAATTAAATGGAAAATATGGGACAAACAAAACCATATTCAATGTGCAAGCCAATTACCTTCCAATTCCTCACTAGAATGAGCCCAAATGTTGTCACCATAGAGACGTTTCCACAACATCAGCGCCTGACCAGGCCTAAACCCATGTGATTGAACCCATTTCTGTCAAAAATCAAATTTCAAACGAGAATTCAACAATAGATTATTAGATTATTCCACCAAAAGGCAACAAGTAGTGGTACGATCACAAATGTTTATCACAGCATGGTGGACCTTCAAGCTTAGGCAATATGTACAAAGTTGATTCATATTTCACACAAAAGCACTTAGCCATTGACTCTCTTTGGATGTAGTGATTCCAATTTAGTTGGACTGTAATTCCTCACATTAGAATCTACTATCCAAAAGTCCACATCTAAATCCAAGTCAATCAAACCCAAAACATTTATTCTTGTATCATTTCATCTCTCAAAGTTCAAGATTGACCATAAAAAAATACTTCCTAAACCGCCCCCTATGCCCCTAATTATCAATAATCATACTAAGGGCCTGTTCTTATTTTCACTTCAGTTCAGTTCCTAATTTCCCACCAGCCGAGCCCGGCTCAGTAAATCAGAACAGGCCCTAATTTGCAATGTCCAATGTCATACACACAATGTACAAAAGTGAAACTTTCCAGGAAATAGAATCATTTATGCCAAAAACTCTTGCAGTCATTCTAGTTAATATATAACAAATTAAAATTAAAAAAAAAAAAAAAAAAAAAAAAAGCCCCTTTTGTTTCTAAAATTAAGAAAATAAATTAACATACTTCAAGCTCGTGGTATCTCATTCCCTTGATCAAAGTCTTGGGTTTCTCTTCATCGGATTTGATCTCAGCAGCTCCTACACCAAAAGAAAAAGAAAAAAAAAATCAAATTTTTATTCCAAATTTGAAAGGAAAAAATTATAATAAAAATGAATTACCAGAAAAAAAGGAATTATTTGGGATGGAATGGAGAGGGTAGGAAGGAGAAGAAGCGGTTGCGGAAAGAGAGCGGCGACGATGGTGGGATGGGAGGAGAGAGAAGAGAATTTGAGATGATGGTGATGGAAAATGAAGGGTGGAGATTGAAGGAGAAGGAGAAGTAGAAGTGAGAAGTAGAGGATTAAAACCCAGAACAATACGCCTCATCCAAATGCAACTTCTCTCCATTTCTGTGTATTCTGAGAACAAAGAAAGGAGAGGAGAGTAGGGCTTATGAGTTTATCACTTCAACTGTAATTACTGGGTAGCAGCTAGCAGTTTAGCACCATCAGTAATTCAATTAGTTGATTAAGGATTGAAACGACGTCGTTCAGTCCATTAAATAGTTTACATAGATTCTAGAACAAACCTTTGTCAAAAAATTAAATAGGTAATTAAAATCAAAAGTTAATGACTTAGGTTTTGTCAAATAACGAGTTGAGTTACAATTTAACATGTAATCGGCTTTAATTAATTAAGGGGTCGTTTGGTTACATCATTTAAAATGGGTTGAAATGGAGTTAGAATCCATTTCATCTATTTTTTGGGGGTTGAGGTTTTTTTATAGGAAAATTGTAAACTAATAATCCCACCTTTAGGTGGTCTTCCACAAACAATCCCACCTTTCTAAAATCCAGAAACAATCCCACCTATTCCCCCTATCTTCCATTAACGATCCTTCACCTGTTGAAACCGGTTAAAAAATTAGATTGCTTAGAACAACCGGTTTCTTCTAATTTAATTTCCAACCGTTAAAAAGCTTATACACCATTAATGCCTTCTCCCCTGTTCTTCTCTGAGAATTTTATAAATTGCCCCCCCCATCAATTAATTTTTTCATCTTTCTTCATCTCATCTCTTCATTTGTACTCAAAGCTTTCTTTTATTTTTTTTTTTCCATTTCGCTATCAATGGCAAGTCATAATTCAATTGGCTCCTCTTCAAGGTCGAGGTCGAAGCAAACCTCGTCTTCTCAGGTGGTTTGCTACCACAATGAAATTGCACCACTGAGGACAGTGCGCTACGATGGTCCAACAAAGGGGAAGCGGTTTTTTGGGTGCTCATACTGGCCTGTAAGTATTTGCGCACCAAATTGTTGTTTTTTTTTTTTTTTTTAATTTGCTTTGTTATTGCTGTAATAGCCTAATTTGGGTGATTTGTAGGAGCAGAGGACTTGTGGCTTTTTCAAGTGGGCTGATGAGGTGGATGATGTTCGTGATCTGCAGCATTTGGTTATGGAGAAGGAGACCAGAATTTGTGAGCTTGAGTCTGAAATGGACATGATGAAGGATAAAGTGAAGAGGCTCAAGGCAAAGAAAGAGAAGCTGGTTGAAGAGGTGGAGGAAATGGGCATTGCAACGACTGAAACAATGTTTGAACTCAAGGAAAACAACACTGACAAAAGGCTAATGCTTACTCTGGTCTTCTCTTGGGCATTTTTCACCCTTGTGCTGTTGATGAAATAGGGTGTGTTGATGATGGGGTTAAGGTAGTTTTTTGGGGTTGCTGTGAAGGTGTAGTATAAGTGGGTTGTGGGTTGGTTGGGACATCTGTATTTTGGGTAGTTTTCAGATGTGAAAGTGTTTGGTTTTTTTGCTTAATTGGCATGCTAGAATGGTATTCAGTATGCTAGGCTTGACTTAAAGAAGGAAGTAGGGCTTGACTGTAGTGTAGGTGCTGACCTTCACTGACTTTTGTAACCATGGCAATTTCAATGAATATATGACTTATGTTGCTTGGTTAAATTGTTGTTGCTGAAATTCTTGCAATTTAATTGTTGTTGCAGCCACTGTTTTAAACACTTTAATACAACATATATACTATGAAAAAATTGCACAAACAGAGAGCATATATAGCATAACATGAAATTCTTCAAAATACAAGACAAACTATGTTCAAATGAAGATACATAAACATAGGTTTGAATTGCATAAACTTAGGAATGTCATTGATCTTAACTAACTAATACATCCTTATTACATGTTGTTCTAATTTGAGGAACCCTGACTGAAGTTGTAGGAGAAAGTAGTGGTGTATGCTGAAACATCTTGAGGTCCTGCACTTCCTGGTGGCTGCATTGAAAAAAAAAAAAGGAGTTAGTTTTGTTTCCACATAAATAGGCTTTGTAATAAAATAGTCAATAAGTTACTGTCATACATTAGTGAATGTAGAGCCATCTGATGTCAAATAAACACCAAAACCTTGGGGGACCTGATTTCTTCCTCTGCCTCTTCCACCCCTTGATCCTCTACCACCCCTTGTTCCTCTACCACCTCTGTTACCTCCTGTTGTTGTGGTAACACCTCTTCCCATACTGCCTGAAGCTTCCCCTCCCCTACCAGTTCTCCCACCCTTACTAGTTGGAGCATCCCTTTCCCTAGCTCTGCCAGTTCCCCTTCCAGCTGAGTTGCCTCCCCTGCTGATCACTCTACCTCCCCTTCCTATTCTTGAAGGTTCAGCTGTTGCTGTTAGACGAGTAGAAGAGCATGGGTGCATAGGTTGGGAAGCTGCAGCCTCTTTCCTTGGCCTACCCCTTGCTCTCTTTGCTGGAGGCTCATCTAGGGTTTGTGGGGCTTGTGGCAGAGTAGTTCCTCTGATGGGGCACCTTCTCTTATTATGGCCCTTTTGTTGACACACAGAGCATGTCATTTCCATGCCATGTTTGGTCAACTTTCCTGGCTTTTTAGGGTCCTCAAATGGATCCTTTCTTCTATTCTTCCTTGGCCTTCCTGGTCCTACTTTGATGGGGGGTGGATCCATACTCAACTCTGATTGAGGCCAATGCCTTTCACCTTCAATTGGAGGGATTGAATTCTCATATGCTTTCAAGTACATCTCCTTCTTATAACACTCATCAACATAATCTTCTGCCTTCTTATGACAGAAAAAAATTGCAGCCACTGCATGGCAACATGGGATCCCACACATGTCCCATTTTCTGCATGTGCAAGTTCTTTTTTCTAGGTCCACAGACATAGTGTCCAAGATATGGCTCACTTGAAACACACTCTGTGAAGAAGGAATGACCTCACAATTAGCAGCTTCCTCTTTCTCTGGTTCTAGCTTCTTCTGAATCCTTGGACATAAAACACTCTTCCATTTTTCCATTTCCTGCCTCTTAATCACCAACCTCCTCATTAAAGCTGCCCTTATATCCTCCAACATATAAAGCAAATGTTTTGCCCTAGCATTAATGATATACCCATTAAATGTCTCAGCCATGTTAGATGTGATGGCATCTGCCTTCACATCAGTTTTCAAAAATGCCCTGCAGAAGACATTTGGGTTGTAACTTTTGAAGCCTGCAGCAGCTGCAGCATTAGTTGTCTCCAACTTATTAAGTGCATCTCTATAGTCAGCTTCACTATATGACTTTGCACAGCTCCAAAACATCAATTTCATTTCATCACCTCTGAAATTCTTGTGCCAATTTGAAAAAATATGTCTTGCACAATGTCTGTGCTCAGCTTGAGGGAGTGTCACACTAACCCCTCTTAGAATGGCCTAGTAAAGCAATATGTATTAATGAATTCAGCAAAAAAAAAAAACCAACATAACCAAATATATGTATTAATGAATTCAGGAAAAAAAAAAAAAAAAAACCAAAAACAGTTGAAGTTTATACCTGATGCTCATCTGACACAATCTCAGTTCCAGAACCATCACCAAGCTGAAGGCTTTTGCTGAGGTTATTCAGAAACCACTCCCAGGAAGTATTATTTTCACCCTCCACCACTGCCCAAGCAATTGGGTACATCTGATCATTCCCATCTCTGCTTACAGCAGACATCAACTGTCCCCCTAGGAATGTCTTCAAAAAGCAAGCATCAACACATATAATTTTTCTGCAACCCTCCATCCAACCTTTTTGCAATCCCTCAAAACAGACATACAACCTCTGAAAAATCTGTGGTGGCTTATTCTTGTCCATGTATGTGACTAAGTCCAACTGTGTGTTTGGACTGGACCTTTTCAAGGCTTCAAGATACCTGCCAACCTTCCCATAATGCTCTCTCATGGAGCCATGAAGCTTTTCGTGAGCATGCCACTTTACCTTGTAAGCAAACTCTTTCCTAATGATAACCCTGTAAGCTCTCCTAACTGTTTCAATGATCTCTTTAGCTGGCCAATGAGGCCTAGCCTTAAACACATCAAGTAGTTGTTCTGCCAACCATGACCCTTTCAGCTGCTTGTTTTTCTCCATAGTTCTGATGCAACTATGGTTTGACACTACTGTTTTAACTACAAAGGAACCTCTCCAGGAGTCCCAAGAGGCATACAACCTAAAAGGACACCCTTCACTGCACCTCACACCAATTCTTTGTTGCCTTCTTTTATTTGCTGTCACAATAGTTAGATTTCTACCTTGAAAAATTGCAAACTTAGCAACAGCTTGCTTGAAGTCCTCCCTAGTTGCAAATCTATGCCCAACTTTCCACTGAAACTGAGTAAAGTCAGTCTCAAGCCCTACAAGCAGACCTCTCCTGCTCTTTCTTTCCCCAATTGTCTCCTCTTCATCACTTCCCCTAGGTGTGTGAATTTCTTCATCAGATTCTTCATATTCAGAGTTGTTACCAGCCTGTTTTCCACCATCCCCAGCTTGTTTACTAGTCTCCCCAACCTGTATACTACTCTCACCCCCTTTGTTCCCCTCCTGTTGTGCAGCTAAATTACCCTTAGCAGCTTGAACTTGTAGTGATTGTGCCTATTCTACTACACTACAATTGAAACCTTTCACTCTTTCCCTTGCCTCCCTTTGCTCATCATCACTACTATCAGCATCAAAATCCTCTGGCTCCTTCAACTCTGCAATGTCACTAACATCATCATCTTCCCCATCTAAATCAAAGTTAGCTTGATAAATCTCATAATCACCTAGCCAATCCTCTTCCTCTTACTCATTTCTGAGATTAACCTCATCCTCATACTCATCTGCATCAGACTCACCCTCCAAATCATCTTCTAACACATAATCTTTATCATCATCATCTTCATCACTTTCTAAGCCATACAGTAACTCATCTATGGCAATGGGGCTATTAGGTCTGTCTTCCTCCCAATCATAGTCCCCTGGCACTTCACATCTAATGAATTCAGAATGAGGCTCTAATGTGTTTTCTGTTTGAGTTGGGGTTGCTGTTGTTTGACTAGGGTTTTCTGGTAATGAAATGGAGGTACTAGATCTAGGAAATGGTTGAAGTTGTTTGTTTGTTGTTAGAGTGGGGACCACTTCTACTGCTTTTCCTTTAGACTTTTTCAACACATGC